GGTCAGTACCAAGTCAATTAAGAGCAGATGGAGGCATTGGCAGCCAGTGGCTCCATTCAGGAGGGAACAAGCTGGAGGGCAGAATGTGGAGCGGTTCAGGAAAGGAGGGATTTTCCACAGCAGGGAAGGAGTTAGGAGGATACAACAGGGACTGTGCAGATGCCAGAGAAGTAGAGAGGGTCAAAGAGAGATCAGGAGAGCCTTGGAAAAATCTTATCTTCTCACACACTGGCTTCAGTTCGCATTCTTTCCTCCCTTTTACAAAAATCTCCAAAGCCTCTTCCTTTTCACTTTCCCTTTCTATCCCTTAATGTTTGTAGTTGCCTCTGACTCAGATTCCTTCTAAGGGAAAATAGGTATTAGATACTTCCAAACAGCTTTTTTATTGGTCAGCTGCTCCCTTTTGGGCTGATGCCCTCTATGCCTAACAAGCTTTTGCCCTTAGGGCACTGTGGGTGTGAACATTAGGTCTGGAAAGTGTAATTGCCCAGCTTGCCATCTGAGTGCAGCGTAATGCAGGGAAATAATGAATCAGTCATCCAACCAAATGCTAATATTTGCATTTGCCATTGATATATAAAGAGCAAAAGTGCTGGTAGAAGTATTTTTCAATTTTATTGCAGGCTGAGATGATACCCTGAGAGAGGGAAAGTAGGTCTGATCCTAGACCCAGAGTGATCACAGTTGTATTTGAAGTACTGTGAAATGTTCAGGGCTTTGTCTTTGTGATTCTCATTGCAGTCACTAAGAGTGACAATGAGAAGTCACTAAGAGTGCTTGCTGATGTCCCAGGCAGGGCATAGGGAATTACACCACGGTATCATGGGATTCAAGATTTTCTGTGCAAGACTTAGAAACAAGCAGCTGCTTTTGTTTGGCTGCCTAATTCACTGGTTAGCTGAAAATTTAACTGGCACATTCATATCTTAGCACTTAGAAAATGGACACCTCAACTTGAAAATCATGAGTAATAGTTTATCTTTTTCTGTCTCTTCCTGACACTCCCATCATCATTCCCAGCAAATTTTCGGGAATATGTATGAATATATATATATATATATATACATATCAGAAGCCCTGTTCCACATGTTTTGTTTTGCATCCTGTTCTGTGCTTACCTGCTGCACTCCAGAATACCTCCATTTCAGTTAGGTGATAGCTGAAGTATGGAAAAGTTCTAACTCTAATTTAATCAGTTTTATTACCTTTCCATGCACTTGATGCCTTTTCATTTTCTAGAAGTTGAAATACTAGGATACAATTATGAAGATATTCAAGAAGTGGTAAATAAGTGCTCATGTGTCATAAAATGACAAATGAAAAAGCATACTGTAAAAGAGAAATGTTGATTTTAGTTGTCCTGAGAATTAGTAAAGATAGACATTGACTGGTGAAGATATGAAATAGAAGAAAAGCCCCATGAAGATGAAAAAGAGCTATTATCTCTTAGATCCTGTCACCTCTTTTCAAGTACAATGTTGTGCTCCCCTGAGGATGCAATTTAAACTGATAGTGCATCACAGAACTCCTTTGCAGCCTTTTCTTAGGCAGGCAGTTGACTTAGGTAGCAGTTGCACTCCTCAGTGCAGTTGATTTATAATAAACCTTTGTTGTGAGTATAAAAATACCAGGATTGAAGTCAAGTGCTCTTCAATTAAAGACCCATTTAGGTGGGAACAAGTAGAAATTCTGGCAGTCATCTGAGCAGTGCTATCAAAATTGAACTGCTTTGCAAAGCTACATCCATCTTGGTTTTGAACTTCACTAAAAAACAAAACCAGCACTGAGGGAGAAAAGAGATGTATCTGTGGAAATAAAAAGAGTTTAGAAAAATACCAGAATTATGTATTTGATCATCTTGGAGCTATTTTAAGTTTTCATTTTTAAATAAGATTTTTGTTTCCACCTTTAACTTGGAAAATGTAGAAGAAAATGTCTAAAAGTTGAAATCAAATTAAATGCCTAAGAAAAAAAACTTGATAAAAAGTTTCAACATCAAATCTAAAATTACCACAATCATTGTGAAATTTGGGCTTTCACCCTTCTCATAGCCTTACTGAGCAGGTACACCCTCAAGTGTTTGGAATAAAATAATTTTGCAATCAGTGGATTAAAATGTAAACCTGGACACATATGTTCCCTACAGCACCATCATCACTTGAGAAGCAAATTTCTGTTGCTGCAGGATTTGATCCATCTTGCAAGAGAGGGAGGAAAAAATGAATGTTCTGAACTTGCAGATGTTTTTCCTGGAGGAGTAATGACTCTTATGTAAATAATCACTTTATTCTGCAAGTGCATACAATTTCATTCCACAAATTGATTTCACCTCTTCTGCCCTTTTCTCTGGTGCAAGCCTCTGCTAGATCTAGCAAGCCTCATTATTCTCTTTTTAAATATCAAAGCTATAAACATCCAAGCCAGAGCTGTGTAGGAACATCGTTTTCAAGTAACATCTTGAAATCTCCAAGTTGGTGTCAAATACAAATCTTGGCTAACACTGTGGATGTATTTTATCACTAATGTGGAAAAAAATGCGCCTTTTTAGCATCATCTTCTGTGGGCAGGTAATGAGAGAGGAAAAACTAAACATACTATAAACATCAGAAGTGATGGAATAGTCTGGGAAATAAATTCTTTTGCTGCAATACAACTGTTTTCCAGTTAAGCATGAAACATGCTCTGTGGTTGTTTGCTCAACCTCTGTACGTGGCAAACCACATTTACAGTGCTGAGCAAATCTGGCACTAAAATTCATCATCAGTGAGCAGAGCAGGGGGACACTTTATATGGTATGCCCAGGGCCACCAATGTCACCTCACAGAGATAACTGGGTGTACTCAGAAATTACAGCAATGGAAAGAGGAGCAGAATCATCCCCTAAATCTTTGTGTGTTCATAAACTGTCACTGTCAATTTTCAGCTACCCTGTGTTATGAGCTGCAGTTGATTTTTTTCTCTTTTTTGCTGTCTTTCATGATACATGTGCATGTCTCATAAATATGATTTATCATTTCTCTTTTTGAGCTGAAGTGGTTGGAGGAAGAGTATGGCATTCATTCCTGAGGGAAGATAACTTGCCTGAGGAAAGTTTGGTTTAGGCAGTTAGTGAGTAGCTCTTATTCTTAGAACCTGAAGGTATCTGTTTCTCAGATAATTATATCTTGGGAGTATATTGTGATATATTTCAGCTGTGAGTATGAATTACAGTTTTCTAGCCCATTGTTTCAGGAATACTTTGTCAGTGAATTTCACAGGTTAATTACACATTGTTCAACAAAATGCTACTTTTCATTGTTTCCTCAGACTGCATTCATTTTTGTAGTACCTGCTTGTAAGGTAGGGATCTGTTACATCAGCTTTGTTTTCAGCTCTCAAAGTAGCAAAATTTCCTTATGTTCTAAGTGGAAATCTTCCACTTCTTGTAAGGATTACTCCTTTCTCCTAGGTGGTCTTTTTTTGTATGTTCACTACTGCTATGGAAAAAATGTTAAGTGTAACAGCTAAAGTCAAACCCAGAGCTCAGTGTGAGGCTGGGTACTAATGCAGGGATTGCCACTGGGGATGAGCCCTGTTCCTGTGGAGCTCAGCTTTCCCTCTCTCACAGATGCCCCTGGTAAGTATTTCAGAGGAAAGTGAGCACAGCCCTCAGTAAGGAAATAATGAACCTAACACAGAAGGTCTTTTGAGCTGTGCTGTGAAAAATGAGAGTCTGTATATTTACTTATTATGCCCAGTCTAAAGCAGCTCTTGGGGCTTTTTCTTGTTAAGTGTAACTGTTTGATCCTTTCTGATACTCTGCTCTTCTCATAGTCTCAATGATGTCTTGTAACAATGAGTTTCACCTCAGGTTAATCAAGTTCTCCAGAAAAAGATGTTTTCCTTTATCAATTTTATATGTGTTGTCTTTTCAATTTCATTCAATGTCCACAAGAGTAGTTTTTATTTCCCTTTTTCTACCATTCATTATTTTCTAAGCCTCTGTAATGTCTTCCCTTCTTCATCTCCTGTCTAAAGCAAACAATTTCAAATGTCTTAGCTGATTCTACTTGATTTGTAAGTTTTTAAGTATTTTTATTTCATTTTTGTACCTGTCCTAATTTTATAATGTACTTTTAAAATATTAGAATTTGAGGCATAAGCCTGATCTGTAGATTGGAAATGGGATATTATTTGTGTAACTCTGATTCTTTTGACTCTTTCTGTTTTTAGTTTCCTTTTCTCTGGGGATCCCATATGTACTGGAATATTTTCAGGGGAACTTCCACCACTAGGCAGATTCTCAACACCTCCCACAACTACATCTTCACTTACCTGGGACAGTAGAAGTGCTTCAGATGACACTGTGCTTTCTTTGTTATTCCAATGAAAGGGCACACTGTTTGTTTTCAAAGCATTTTTTGGGCTTTTTAAATTATCAAGGACACATGTTTGTGAAATACAGGTGAAACACAGGCACCTGGAGTGGCTAATTCAGTAGTGTTCTGCTCGTTGTGAAACTCAGTTGTCTGAATGAAGCCGTGTTTCTTCCTGAAGAGAGGTTTAAGTAATTGCAGTTGTAGTTGTACAGTTTAAGCTATTAAATAATAGTATTTTGAGGAGTTATCTTGAGATGCCTCAGCACCAAAGTTTAGCCTCTGCATTTTAAAACACCTCTAAGTCTCTTTTTCCGGAGTGCTGCCCAAACTTGAATTTATCTAGTTGAATTTATCTGACTTTCCCATGAAAATGCAGTTTGTCACAAGTATTGGAAAACAGATGATCTCCCAAGTCAGAGGTTGCTTCCATAACTGGTGAATTTTCATCATTCAGAGAAACTTTCTCAAACTTTTTCTCTCATTTAATACCTTTGTAAATGAGGATGTAGCACAGAAAAAAGTCTAGACTATGCTTAACTTTCAGTCCTGATGTGGCAGCTTTTTGGCTTGAAATAAGAGGTGAAAAATAGGAGTGCAGATTGCACATATCTTTTATTTTCTCTTTTTTTTTTTAATCCCCAGATCTAAACGTCCAGTGCCAGTTTCAACCACAGCTCCCAGAATTGACTCTCCCAGGGCTGTAATTCCCCATCAGAAGGTAAGTGACACATTTCTCCTCAGCCAGAGTGAATGCCCTTTCTATCTGCTGTGGTGAAGGTAAACATCTATTGCAGGAAATAGCTTCTGCCTGCCCCAAATAATTAAAGGTTGAATGAATGCACAGGCAGCAAAACTGCTGCAAGGCAATGTATTAGTGATCTGTATTCTTCTAATTTCTGATTAGAAGGACCAAAGCATCCAGCTATCCTCTGATGTGATTTGGTCTAGCCAATTCTGAGCAACTGTTTTCATCTTAGCAACGGGAAGCTGCTAAAGCTTCTGAAAAATCCAGATTTGCTTTCGTAGATTGTTGGGGAGAACCACTAGACTGTGCCTCAATCTATCCAAATCCTGGCTGCAACTGAAATGACACTGATTTGGAGACAGGACATGAGGGCATTTGAAAGCTTTCATCCTATAGTGTTCTTATCATAGTATTCAGAAGACTTGAGAATAAAAAATGAAGAGGATAAATCAATTTAATGAATAACAGCAAGTGGCAGAGGAAATTAATGGCTTGGTTTCCATTGTCAAAGCACATCATGTTTCATAAAATAAATGTTCATTTTAGAATAAACACTGACTGTACCTGGCAACTCATCTTCTGTATCTTTGGAGACACCGAGGAGCAGGGGTACCTGAAAGGTGGTGCATATATCCTTAGGCTCAGGCTCTGGGCAGGACATTTGTATTGCTGATGCATTTCATTAGATAAATGGACAGGAGCTAAAGTTTCCATTGCTGCAACTTATCCCTGCTGTCTGTGCCAGTTTCATCCCTAGCATGCATATAAATAAAAAACACTGAAGATCAAAATACATGGGGAATTAGATGATTTTCTACTGGTTTTGACAGTTCCAACATCCATAGATCAATTTTAAGTAATTTTTATAAACTCTGTGCTTTCCAAATTCAGAGCACAGATGGTAACATCATCCCTGAAGCTGCTGCAAATAGGTTCAGAACAGCAGAAGAGAATGCACCTGGGGGGAATAATTTGCTTCAATTTTGTTTTGTGAAATTTTAAATTAACCTGACTGGCTATTTATTAGTTGAGGCAGAAATTGTTTTTTTAGATTGGATCTTGTAAACTTTTTTGGCAAGGGAAGATGAAATTAAGAATTAATCTTACTCAGAGTTGTTTCTGTTTATGTCATGATGTTATAAAAAGTTATTGTGGAGGAACTGATTGGAATAGTCACTGAACAGTACTGTGAAATTCCTAGACCAAAAGCCATGAATCATTCTTTTGGTTAAACTGGTGTTTGACTGCACCAGCAAAGTAACAGGGACAGGAAGGGAAAGGAGTTCTCATTTTCCCAGAAGGTGCACCCAGAATGCTGTCAGTGTTCAAGGCAGTGAGTAGATGTGTCTCATCAGAGTTATTCACCAACATGAGATGGACACCTGCCTTTTGGGGCTCTATAGACCTGCACAGGTATGAAAATTTTGTCTCCTTCCTTCATAGGCACATAAAGCTCTTATATATTGGACTTTCATTGCTCTTTTAGATGCATTTTAGGTGCATTTATTCCTTGCCAATTGTCAGTTTTAAAATTGCTGACACAAGTTTTCAAAGCCGTTTACCACAGAAAATACTTTTCTCCCTTAATTATCTACTGTATAGAAAAGTTGACTTTACACACAGCAGGGATTTTTTGAAGGTCCTAGAAGACCCCTTGGCATGAAAGCCATAAAGACACTTTACATTTCCTATTCTAGCCCTTCAGAGAGAGATGAGGATCAAAAGACTCAACCCATTTTCAGAAGCTTGCTGCCTTAAGTTTGAGAATTCTGTGCAAGGTGCTCAGGAAAAGTTTGTAGGAGCTGCTGGAGGCAGCCTTTCCTGAGCCAGCTGCAGGCAGTACCAGTGGCTGGAAAAGAGAATTAGTGGAACCTTTCTAGAGAAAAGGGTGACATCCAGGGGAAGGTATGGGGGAAACAGGTTATCTTGCAGTATTCAGGAAGATCTTTCACCCAGGGGAAGAGGTAACATCAGACTGCTGGACCCTTTGCAGGTCAAGAGGAGTGACACTTGTGTCACTTATGTACACTAATAGCAAGTTTTAAGTGAAGAAGAATTCTTCTCTGGGAGTTGTTTGGAAGGAAAAAAGGCATTGAGCTCTCAGAGAAGTCTCAAAATCCAGAATAAAGATACTTTACTGATAGAGGCAATGTAATGCTGATTTGGCAGTAAGCTGTGTTACACTAAATACACTTTAAAACCAAGGTTTCTTTGCTTGTCCCTTTATTATTTCTAGTAACAAGTATCACTGTAGAAATTAAGAATTCTCTGACACACAGGCAGAAGTCACCTCCACACCTCTGCTTGACAGTGTTTAGACTGATGGTTTACATGAAATGATTTTGATGGTATTTTTAAAAATCAGCAAAAGACTGCATTACAAGACAGTCGTGACAATGTCATCCTCATACATCATGAGAAGCTTTCCTCACCCTTCTCTGGTTAAGGTTAAGGTGTGGCAACATTAGCTAAACAATCTGCATGTGCAACTTCAGTGTCTAGTTAAAACCATAAATCCTCTTGTACATTATTGCTGATCTGATTGCAGCTTCCACTAATTTTCAAGCATGCACTTCTTTCACTGTTCACTTTTTTGTTTGTTTGTTTGTTTTATTTTTTTTTTAGGGAAACAAGCATACTTTTTTCACAAAGATCAGTCATTCTTTCACAAACCTGATCAATGTTATAGATGATACAGGTTCTGCAACCATCAGTATGTAGGGCTGTTATTGGAAATACTATTTGATTGCTTTCCAGTTTCACTATATCTGACATAAATCTCAAACTAGAAACAATTTTCATTTACTTTAGTCAAATATTTTTGATTTAGTGAAGTCTTTTGCACAGGTGGGGCATAGCTGGAAGAAAGGGCGTAGTTAATGTTGAAAGCATTCAGATAACAGTAAGAGTAAGCTTGAGTCTAAGGATTTAAACTAAGCCATCAACCAGTCAATGAATTCATTGACTGCAGCTCTTCAGAGGGGACATAACACAAGTGAAGATTCAGATCAGTGCAGTTGAAAACATTCAAGCTGGTGTTTTAGGGCTAAGCATGGCTTTAACATTTGTTCATTTGCATGAAGGTATTGACAGCCTTGTTGATTCTAATGATGTGGCTGTGTGTTGTGCTTTCTGTGAAACACTACTGACAACATTTATTTGGAGTCCCAGTGAGCATCTTGTCATACTTACGATTTGTTTCCTGCCAAATTTGGGAGACTATGTGTCTAAGAGAAAGTAGATGGAGATGACTGACTTTTTAAGTAGAGTATAGGATGGAGAAGCTGGCTTAGCCAAAAGCAGTTTGATCATGTCGTTGAGAGTCATTCAGTGCCATAGTGCCTCCATTCCCTTTATCCTCTAAAAAATTTAAAGCAACAATTGCTTCTTGAGCATGTTGGGTGGTCAAAATCACTGGTATACTGTTAAAATTGTTCTCCCCAAAGTGCAAGAGGTGAGTAATGACTGTAGGGTCACAGCAATAGATAAATAGAGAATGATTTGTCAAAGGAAGAGGACCTGCAAAACCTGGTATTGTATCTCCCAATCTAAATTTATTTCTCACTTCCCTGATACATAAGAAGGAACATTTGCCTTTCATAGAAATTGGATTTTTATAAACAAATAATAATATTTCAGAATGGAAATTGAGCTGATTCCTAGCTTCCTTCTATTTCAAAAGGTTTGAGACTCCTCTACATTTCTCAGTTTGCAGCTCATTCCCTGAGTTACGCAGTTTTCCTCCCACAGTAAGGGACTGCTGCACGATCCCGCATCTTCCTGAAGGGAAGCCCATTGCTCAGTGTCAGAGCCTCCTCTCCTGGTCGGCTCGAGGGTAGCATCAGGCTCCCAGAGCTGGAAATGTCAGCTTGCTTTTCCAGCCGCTGAAACAGAATGGGATGAGAGATGGGGAACAGGGGAGCGTTTGTTATTGTTGGCTGCATTTCATGTGATGCAATGCTGAAAGCTCAGTGTTGCTGCTCAGTACTAGACATTTGCCCTTCAGTCTGAAATTCTGCATAGATCTGATTTTGACACTGAACTGGAGACAAGAAATAATTCTACAATATTCTCCCAGGAATAAACTGAATCAGAGATTTTTTGGTTAGTCACAAAAGGGAAGAGCTAAATATCCTGATGATGGGGCAGTAATTATTTAGAAGTACAGCCTCACCCTTAGACACTTCCTGTTTCATCCATTTTTTCCCCCACAACACAGGAAAACAACTGCCCTAAAACTGTCCAAAATATGAACTCAAGATGGAGATTGCTAACCTGGCACTGCTGGGCTCTAAAGAATTCTAATACTGATTTGCCAGTATGCTGGTATTCCAGCTAGAGATCGTTTAAGGAGTAAAACCAGAACTCCATTTGTGCCAAAACGGAGCAAAATCATCGGCCATAATGTTTGACGGCTGCCCTACGATTTCCCTTTTGCCTATTGTTACTGTCCAGTAACACCAAGACTATGAAAATGCATTAGAGCTAAGGAAATATGTGGCATTTCTCTCATTAGCAGTGCAAACTGCTCTTACAATCAGCTCTCCTTACATGTCCTTTTATTTTGGGGTGTAGGAAGAAACCCACAGTTAACTAAAAGCCACAGAGTTTTCAGGGTAACAAATTAATATAACTCCAGCATATCCTTTTTCTTCTCTATTACATCTGTGTTTATTTTTTATTTAATAATTGTTTTGTCCCTCTGTGCTGGCATGTAAAAATGGTTTGCACAAGTGATTACTTAATTTTTGAACATATTTGTGCCTCTTCTTGAACACATTTTTAGAGAGAAGCCCCTTTTCCTGTTTATTTAATGATATCCAGAAGCTTTCAATAGACCACTGGAAGGGATTGTTGTTTGCTGTTTTCAGTGTCAGGGTATAATAACCAAAGTATGTATTGCAAATGTATTTATTTAAAAAGGCATGGTCTGAAAATGCTTTTAGGATTATCTGTTTCAACAGCCTCAGGCAGCTATTAATGCCAGCTAAAATCTCTTCCTGTTTATCACTAAGAAAAATTATCTTAGTTAATTTTATCTGCCTTACATTTTTGATTCAACATGTCTTAAATGTGTTTAATGTTATGATTACTTATATCCTTAGACCTTTTAGGGTTTTTTCCCAATAAATTTTAATTAATCAAGGCATATTGTCTTGATTTTTATTTTCAAATATATGCTCCCTAAATTTATACATGCAATATAGAAAAATCTGAAAGGGCAATGAAAATATTTTTCTTGTCAACCATAGTATCAAAATTACACTACATTTATGTAGTGATGATACATTACATTTCATTACTGATAACCAATACTAGCAAAAGCATAGAATCAGAGGTCAAATTGTTCTCAGACCGGTATTTCATGCAAGGTGTTAAAGAAGATGGTTGCATTGCCAATGAATGAGGCAAAACATCACTTCAGGCCACTACCTGCTCTTGAACTGGCTATCACTGAGACCAGATTGTGGGCTCCATTCTTGCTTCAGGCTGATGTCCCCTGCCTGTCCCTGTCCCCTGAGCTGGACTGCAGCAAGTAGCCAGCATTACTGGGCCTCTTAACTGTGAGCATTTTTCTTTTTTTGATATCACCTCTTATTTTGGTTTCACTAAGGTGCATTTATAGGAAATCATTTATGAAACTCAAGTGTTGGACTGTGTTTTTCCAGGATGAGTTTTTGGTAGATCGTTTTGAGTCTGAGCAGCAGCACAGACTTCTATGGGTATAGGTATTGTAGGGGAGATTCCTTTGGATAAGGCAATACCTGCTGCTGTCCCTGTTAGGAATATTATCTGGGACAGGATTGTAGGATCACGCACACATCTACATTCTCAAGCACACATTCCCTCAAGTGGAAATGAAGCAGGAATGACCAGCATAGGAGCAGCCTCTCCGTGGAGCAGTTCTCGAGTCCTGTTGGTGTCTCTGCTAACCCTGCTGCATGGCCTGATCAGCATGAACCAGAGCCCAGGATACCAGTGCATCATTACCATAACCTCAAGTGCACTCACAGACAACAGAATGGTGTGGTTTAGAATCATTGTGTTTTTATAATAATGGCATTGGCTTCTATGGTTATACATGATCTAAAATTATTCTTACCTCAATATGTTTTTTTAAGATTTCTTAATTATCCTAGAAATTAATGGACAGTGTTGCCTTAATATAAAATTATTGCTGTGAGGTTGACTAGTAGCAAATGCTCTCTTAATGTTAAGCTTTATTTGTTTATTTCAACTAAAACCTAGTAAAAAAATGCCTGAGTTGGTTTTGCTTCCCTTATTTTGAAACAATGCATTTCTTTGTTGAAAATCTTCCCTGAAAGTTTGAATGCTTTGGCCCCAATCTGTTTATTGCTAGTTTATGACTATGTTTACAGCATTAATTGCAGATATGTTATTTTTGCATGTGTTCTATGATTGCTCTTTTCTTTTTTTCTTTTCTTGGCCTGCATGTTTGCTACTACAGGAACCTGCTTGGGAAATCAATGGCAACAGACCAACCTTCAGCCCTCTAACTAACACGGCGACTGGGCCTGTGGGTAGTGTTTTAGCAACCAATGGAACCTTTTCAGGCTACCTCAACCAGCAAGAGATCAGCCTTTCAAATAGCTCTTCCTACCAAAAGACTACCACAGTTAGATCTTCCATGTCCTCTCAGTCTGTGACTCCTGACATTTCACCTGCCAAGGGCTCGTTAGGTTCCAAAGCAAGCCCTGCTTTGGCTGGTGGCAGTAGCCCCGCTCACCAGCTGAGCCCTGCAAGGCAGTATAACAACCCCATTGGCCTTTACTCGGCAGAGACCCTGAGGGAAATGGCTGAGATGCATAAATTGAGTCTCAACCGAAGGGCTTCGGAAGGTGGACTTCCTAGAGGGTAGGTAACGTGGTAACATCTTTAATTATTTCAATAAGTAATGAACTTGCTCAGCAGTGAATGTAATGGTGCTTACCCTATTGTGCATTTGTCTAGCAGTCATTATTAAAGCCTGGATCAATAATTCAGTTTTCCAGTAGCCCCAAAACATACCCACGTGGCCATTACAGAATAATGGTTGTTGGTATGTGATGTGCAGCATGGATTGGCAATTGCCAGCAGAGCATGAGGGGGAACAGTAGGACTGAAGTGACTGTAATCATCTCAGGGTTGTGGTACTCAGCAGTTCTAACTAATGCATGGAGTCTCAGGGAACCAAGTATTGCTGTCAGACATCAGAGCAGCTGCTCTAAACCACACCTGATCTTTGGTACTTTGCTAGAGAGAAATGGCTTTGACCAGCAAATCTGACATACCCAGCTACTGGGGTGTCCTGCTGTAATTCCTGCGTTGGGTGTTGGCTTTCCTATGCAAAATGAGTCAGAACTGCAATATTTTGAATCCTCTGGTTTGAAGAATGTCTTGCATCTGTTAGCTTTAATGTTAACTTTGCTATGACAAGGAATGATCTCCAGGTACTGCCCAGGTAGTTTGATCCCATGCTGTCAAGGTTTTCCATGTTCCTATATTGCAGGTCATCTATTTTATTAGTAGGTTTGTGAAGTGACGAGCTTGGACTGCAGTACATGAGAAAAAGTAGGGAGAAACAGGTTTTCCTAATTTTTTTGCCTTCATGTATAAATCATCAAACAAATCTAATTTTTTACTTTATTTGTGGTTTTGAGGTTGTTGTTTTTTGGGTTTTTTTTTAATGAAGATAAATTTCTTGTTAGGAATATGGGAAAAGTGGTTTTTTGACATTTTGACATTAGGGACTTGACTATATAAGGAAAACCAGAAAATTCTGACAATCCACTGATAGCAACTACATATCTTCAAGTACTTTATATCCATTTGCAGCAGCTCTTTGTGAAAATAAAACCAAGAGGTTTTAAGTTGTAGAAAAGTAGGGATATTTCATCCTATTAAAAGAGCATATACTCCTGTTCTAAATGATTCAAGCAATTCTAGATGATTCACTGCCACTCTCTTGAGCACTCAACATTAACAATCCTAATTACCTTATCTGGGAAAATTCTATCCTCCCTTCTCATACTTGATAATTAAGTAAAGCAATTACCTTTAAAAAAAAATTTCAGTTAGTAAGCAAGATCAGGAAAATAAACCTCAGAATACTTGTCTCTTAATTTACAGTTTTCTGAAGAATACCAATTATTGTCTTATTTCAATATACAGAGTTTCCTGGGTATATATCTTGCTGTCTTTTTCTCTGCTATGTTCATAATCCTCCTTAATACGTGCAGGGGTGAGGGTGAAGGGGCTGAATTTTGGATGGCTCAGCATTGTGACTGTTTTGTTATCAGAATTGCAATACAGCTGTATCCATCACTCACTAAAATCAGTGAGAGCCTTTCTATTCAGTTTGAATGAAATTTTAGGGAGCTGCTATATACCTTTACCAGCTGGAGCACTGATGAACAAATAAAAAAATAAAAAACCCTTATCCTGCTGTGTAGGAACATTCTGAAAAGATCAAAGAGTCCAGAAGCACTAAATAAATGTGTCTTGTCTGGTGACTTCTCTGAGATTTAGAGAACTCTACATCTCTGTTGACATGCAGGGAAAATTCAGAGCTCAATAGTGCTATCATTCCCACTCCCACTTGACTGTTATCCATGAAGTAAGAAGTATCTTGCCTCCTGCTCTGTGGAAAAAAACATGGAACCTGTAACTATCTTGGGACTTGGTGGCATCCATGATAATCTCAATCTCACGGTGCATATATGGGAATAAGGAAGCACTGTGAGCACTAAATAATCAGCTCTGCTCTTTACTGGGAACAGTTTTGGAGCATCATAGTATCACAATGCTGTGATATTGTGGTGCTCCAAAATGAAATTCATTGTGCTTTCACAAACATGCACTTAGCTGTATGGTAAAAGCTGCGAAAAAGCTCAAGCATGAGGAGTGATCTTAAGGTATGTTTCAGTTCTGTGCCCTTTTCACCAGATGATTTAAACTTAATTGTGTGAATTGCTGTTACAGGTTTAGCTAAACCCTTTGGAAAATCCTATCAAGGAGCTGAAATTAATTTTGAGATTACTTCCTTGATCTGTGAAGAATAACAAAGCAACTGTTTCTCTGATACACTTTACATTAAAGCTTTATCACTCTGACCCAAGGTGAAAAATAAGATAGCCTGATAGGAGTGTGGAACATGATGTGCTGAAAGCTCTGGAGTGTATGAATAAATATGAACAGTGAGTCATAGTTTGTAACGTGCATCTTTTTCATTCCAGTGTAAGTTATTTTTCACACTGTAGGTCAAGGGCAGTAAATACCTGTCCCACAAGTACGTGCCAGGTGGCTTGGGTTACTGGCCTCTTACTGAGTGACCTCTGTGAGCAGCAAGCTGGGTGTTCCAGACATGTCCCTATATAGAGCCAAACTAAAATTGTGTGTGACTCTGAACTGGGAGGAATTTTCTCATCACATCTTAAACATAAGGAGAAGCAAAGCTTTACTGTTTTTGAAGGAAGCTATAGCAGCCTCTTCACATCTCAAAAATCTTTGCTGAGATGTGACTATTGAGCTGTTCTTCGTGTTTGCACATAATGTTTCTTTTCTTTGGACATAGTTTTATGTTCCTTTAATTAAGGTGTGTTTTAGGGGTTTGGTAGTTCTGCCTTGAAAATGTTATTTTATATGTATGGTAGATGTGTGGATGAGTCAGAAAATGATACCATTACACTTGGTTTCATTGTAAATGAGTGCCCAGCTGTCTCACATACACCTAAAATGGATATACGATCACTGATGTGCTTACAGGCTGCAGCTTGTTCCTAATATATCTCTAGCAGTTCCTGTAAGAACATTTGGCATAATGTAGGGTTTATAAAGCTAGAAGAAGATTTTCAAATCTGAGAATCTGACCAGTAGCTGCAGAGGGTGATCTGTGGTTGCTTTACCATGGAAATGCAGAAGTGCAAAGCCTTTACTGCAGTTTTGGCCCATTAGAGTGCTTTTGATCATGAAAAGTGCTGTTTGATGAGCCAAGGCAAAAGGATTATAGGTAGGATATCAAAGGTTCTGCAAGGAAAAAGCAGGAAGGGCCAAATCTGCTTGGAATGTCACTCTTTAACAGTGTAGCTTTGCTGCCCAGTATTTTCTATCAGTCCCAGACACAGAAATGTCACAGCAGCAAGTTGGAACCCTCAGTCCCCAGTTCTGTCAACAGCATTCCATACAGCCAAGTAAAAAGAAAAGTTTATTAACTGACCATGGATCTCTTCCTCTTTATTTTGCACAAAATAGGATTAACTAGTCTTCAACCAAGAAGCAGAATGTGCATATTCTAAGCTTTGGGAAAAACAGTTAAAATAAATATCACAGCTCATTACTGCTATTTGTGCAACCACCACAGAGAGTTATTTGGAAGAGCACTGTAGTTCAGAGCGAGCACACTCTGTTCTGCACTCCCAGCTTTATCCTGTGTTACGGTGCTTTGGAATTACTGTGCAAGCACCATCGCTGGTTTATGCAGAGATGCAGGAATGGAGTGTGAACATGCCTTTTTTTCATGCCTTTTTCCACTTATATGGAACCAGTTGGAATAAAATCTACTGATATGGATATCCCAAAAAACATACAGCAAGTGTGGCTTGCTTTGTTTCATGTGGAATAAATTAGGAATGACTATTCCAAAGTTAAATGGCTTACACGCCTCTTGGCATAATGTAGGTGCAGTCATATCTAGGGAAATGCTTTGTTATATACAAAGGCATTTTCCTTAGTTTTAGCTTTAAAACATTTACCAATATATTCTTTGGATCTTCTCCAAAATGTAAAAGACTTAAAAATCAGTCTTCCAAAACCAACTCTGAGGGTGGCCTGAGAAGAGACTTTATCCCTGAATATTCAGTATCTAAGATTAAAATATAGTCTCTACCACTCATTTGCTATTTTCAGATGAGAATATACTCTGAAAATCCTCCATTCTTCCCTCTGCTCCCTCCTCCCTTCACTTTGGTAGTAGTACTTTTAAGGATGCACAGCAATAAGACCATGTTCACCAGTCAGCCAAAATGCCATGGTACCCTACTAAGTCCTGGTGGATCAACTATAATCCCTGCATTTTTTCCTTTCTTAATCATGTTGGGGTTTTTAGGCATACATTTACTTTTTATTCTTTTTATTCTTATCTGTAGATGGTCTGAGAAGAGCTGTAGTAATCCTTTGTAAATATCTTTTCCCCTTTACACTCTACAAACTATTGACTGTTTTCTGTGTGGCTGGTTTTGATGTTGTTTGTTCTCTTTCTCTTCTTCTAGGTCATAACCAACACCGCTGCCAAGTTAGTATCACCTCTGTGTAGTGCCAGATATTTGTGTGATGCTGTGTGTGTGAAGATGTGTTTTCTGGGGTAGCATGATCCCCTGTGTTCCTGCTGTGTCTGCTTGCAAGTGCAAGTATTTTTGTAAACATCTGCTTGGTGTGGCAGGCGCCCTGCGCTGCCCCTGCTGTCCAGCAGTGCTCCCGCTTGGCATTTCTTGGTGATGCTCTAATGCTGTGATGGAGCTGCCACCTGAGCCCGCCCAGTTCTTCTAAAAGCTTTCAGGTGGTTGTGCTTCTACAGGCAGGTTTAACTTCTCTTGAATCTTTAAGTGATCTTCATGCCCTCAGAGTTTGGAGAGCATTATCTGAGCCTTTTTTGGTGTGTTATTAGTAAAGTACTTTTAGCTTCAGTGTTAAATTAATTTCTAAAGTCTGCTGAAATTCAAATTTAGGTTGGAGTAAGATACTGATATGGGAAAAAAAATCTATGAAATTATTTATCTTGATAAATCTATTGCCCAAAAAAGAAATAACTATTGACTTGAAAATGTGATTGATCTGCTTTATTTAGGAGACTTCAGAGAGTGCTCAGTTTTGACCTTTAGTTTTCTAGGGGCAGAGGATTGTCTCTAAACTCTTGCTTTTTGCCTCTGACCTGAGTGTTGTCTATAAATTGCTGGAGACTGGGTCAAACTGAGTATACAATAAATAATTCCAATAGTTAAATGTCAACTTTAAACTGACAGTACAAAGTTAGGAGTAGTAGAATACATAAAGTTGAAATAATATTTAGTGCATATAATTTACATTGATCTTGTATTCTCTGTTGATTTCAGTGAAGTGTGAGTGTGATGATGTAAGTCCTTTGGAGTGAAAAATCCTAGCCAGTTTACATTAATAATTATTCTGACAGGATTGTCTTAGAAAGCAGAAGTCACTTTATAGGGGTATTTGTAATCTTACTTGCTTTGGGATTTACTTTTCTGATCCTTTTGTAGCTTAGGAGAAAGATCCCTTTCATTTTGCAGAGGTGCTGTCTCTGCAGCCTTGCCTCTGCCACTTTGTCCCAGAGCCCAGCACTCCTTACAAGCACAAATATCTTCTGTTTGCTTCCAGAATTAGAAAAAGAACTCAGCAGTTGGCAAGCTGTATTTTTTTCTGTTATTTTTTTATTTGAATCCTGTTAACTTCACTGGAAGTTTTGCCTTGGTGTATGTAGTGTGACTAAAACCTCTTGAAAGACATCACTAAAATTGTTTAAAGACCCCAAGTGAAAGCCCAAATTACTCCTGCTGCCACCATGAGGGAAGTTTAGGCTGTTCTGACATTAGTAGCTTTGATTTCTGTATCTGACTGTGGAAACAAATTGCTTAGAACATTATTCTTTAAAGGTGCCTTATTTAATCTCTGTCCTTTCCTTCGCAGAGTCTTCTCAGATCTTGGGTTTAGAATCTCTTTAGTACTTCCAACAGTGTGAAAGAAAGAGAACACTAAATTCAAGATCTTGAGGACCTGTGTTTCTGTAATTATCATGCGATTGTTTAGGGTATTACACAGAAAAGAGATGCTGTTGAAGTCAGGCATGTGCATGCTCAGTACCTCAACCTGCATGTCTCAGCCCACCACCCCTCCAGAGATGATGTCACTGTAATTATAGAATTGTCAGAGTTGATGAATAGTTAAGGGAGATGTGTTTTAAATGTGAGAATGTCTTGGTAAAAGGATAATTTTCACTTTTTTTGAATGCATAATGCCACTTCTCAGTTCCCTACCTTAAGATGTTGGCATGTGCAAGTGAAGGCTGTGGCTGTAATGCAGCATGTGCTCCTGTGTGTCTCTGGTCCTTGTGCATGTGGCTGTCGATGTTCAATGAAGGATTTGCAGTGATATGTGACTGTATCTCTCTCTGTCCATCCTCAGTCAGGGCATCCCACCAAACAAAAGGCTGAAAACAGAGTGGAATCCCCTATCACCTATAATAGTCTTCAGATAATTAAGTCAGATGGCTGCCAGCCTTACTTGAGTTTACCTTTTTTCATCATGCTGGGTTGAGGGTTCAGTTTTAACTCTCACCCTCTGGGCCTACTCATGATAAACAGACACACTGTTGTGTGTGTAAAGAGAAAAACAATATTAGCCAATAAACTTACAGTCTAATGTCTTAAACTGAAAAGGAAAATTGTTCTAATCAAACTGAATTCTTCAGCAGTTCTTCTGCAGGGAGAAAAATATCTATTTCCAGCTTTTGGATTCAGTTCTGAATGAAACATTTATGAAATATCTGTTATTTCACAAAGGATGGAGTTCCCAGTTTTGTCCAGTTTGGTGAGTGTATGAAGTCTCTCCTGCTGGTGTCCTCCTGCTGCTGGCAGGACAGGGTTGAAGAGCAGCCACCATAGTGGATGATGTTGGTCATTGGAACTCTGGGCAGTGCTCAGTTCTAGCTCCAGAACTAGAACTATGCATAGCTCAACCCTACAAGAAAACCAGCTGCTCCTTGGCTGCAGTCTGACTGCAAACTGACTCATTCTGGTGTCATGGAAGCTTCAGTTAGCTTGCTTTAGAGGCTCAGTCCATCAAATATAAAATCTTGCCTTGTAAATGGAGTCACTGGAAACTAAGGCAGCAACTCTTCCAACTGCACTTGGTTGCAATGTTGCATATTTTGATCTGGGACTGAGCCTTTATCATGCTATAGCAGCACTTCAGGCTGGTGTAGAGAGATTTTGGGAAGATTTAGTCTCTGTAAGGAAAGCCTTGAAGATCAAAAGGCACAAGTACTAAATTTCACTGTGATTAATGACACACAGAGGAAGTATGGAAACCTTCTAAATAATAGAAAACCTGATATCCCTTCACTTCCCTGTACTTTCTAGACCTTTATAAGACCCTTCTGAAAACACAAATGGATGACAAAAAAAGTGGGAATTCTCTGCTCTGTGCATGTACTTCCCATGGACATGCATATATACATGAGCATGTTTGTATACACTTAAATGTATATATGCATATAACAACAGAATTTTAGTGTATGTAAGTATCACACAAGTGCTTACAGATTTTTTGTGATATTTTAATACAGTGACAGCTATTTTACCTTTTTTTTTTCCTTTTTATACATCATAAGCCAATCCAAAAATGACATCCATTAGCACAGCCATCTTTTTGCTATGGCTTGGTACTTACATTGTCTGTGCTTCCCTGATGAGAAGCTTTGGTGGTGAGATGCCATGAACAGACGTGCACACTCCTGTCTTGGTGGTGCTTCCCTCACTTAACTTCACGCCTCTCTCCTTTCTTCCCCTCCCTTCCTTCCCTGTGGAACCTCACTCTTGCATAACCCAGCACGGACTTCACGGAGCGTTTCAACCCCAATGTCCTGAAGGACTCTGCCCTGTCTACCCACAAACCCATTGAGGTGAAGGGCCTTGGCGGCAAGGCTACCATAATTCACGCGCAGTATAACACCCCGATCAGCATGTATTCCCAGGATGCTATCATGGATGCAATTGCAGGCCAGGCACAAGCCCAGGGTGGAGAATTTGCTGGGTAAGGTTATTTCCTTCTGTGGAATGCTCTTTCTCTGCATGGTACTTGTAACATCCCTACCTGCATGACACATTTGCTCTTCCTGGACTCTTTCTTTTTTCCTGAGGTATATTACACAAATGTGTATCAATCCTAGACAGTGTCCAAAAGCACTTCCATGTTTTGAATTTAAAAGGATGGATCACTAGAAAATCATAGCATGCTTTGTTGTTGGAAGAGACCTTAAAGTTCCTAGCCCCTCCCGTGGTCAGGGGTACGTTAATTTAACCCAGTGTTTTGGTATTCCTCCTAGAACTGGTAAACCCCACAAAAATACATCTAATGCTCTGTATATGATATTGGATGGCTATTCATTCCTGACAGCCATGATTTATAATAGTCACTATTGTATGCATAGCGCAGAAAGGACAAAAAAAAGGGGGGTGGAATTTTTATTGAGATGTGAAGAATGCAAAATATTTATTTAGCACTGGCTACTGTTTTATTCTTCAGAATGGAATGTTTTGCTGTATTTTCCCTATCCCCAGTTTACATACAGTACATGTGTTTTACACAGATCCTTTGGACTATGGCAAAATCCCCTGATCTTTAATAACTTTGCTTTTCCAATGCATGTTTCTGGTAATCTTACCTGATTAACTTATCCAGAGTTGTAATAACTTTACTGAAATTACATATGCCATGAATGTAGCCAGGTTTCTCTCCTACCAAGTGCACTTCTGCCCAAAATAGAAATTGCCTTCCTTTGATATGACACCAAAATACAGGTATAGCAACACACTTTAACATAGTTTCTTTTCCATATGTTAGTTGCAGACTTACTCAAAATGAGGATGGTTTATGTATTTGCTTGTGCTCCCTTTTGCTGGCCATTTTTCTCTCTTTTTTATAATTATTTTTCTTTTCTGTTAACTTTTTGCACCAATATTGTTGTTCATCACAGCTCTCCCTCGTGATGGATCACAAGCAATGCCTTTAGCTGGCTTTGACTCAGTGAATCTCACAGGTGTTGAGTGGACTCATGTTTCCAATTAGTGAAGTACAAAGAAGTTCGTTTGTGTTCTCTATAAGAGTTCATATCCTTCGTAGGCATGGATTATAGGAGACATTTTATGATACATTGGCACTTTCTATTACATGCTGTAGCATTATATGATGCAAATAGTAATGTTTAAAAAAATTACCTATTTAAATGATCAGGTGATTATAAAGTTAATGCTGCATATGTGGATCCTTTTCATTTTGTAAGTTTCTTTTAGTTTCCTCTGTGATATTCTGAACTTTAATTTGCAGTAGAAACCATAATGTTCTTTAGCTTGCTTAGTCAATCAAGTCTGAGTTAAGATTATGCTTAATGAGGAAGTATTTGTATGAGGAGTTTTTAATATAAAAGCAGACCAAATTGTGTGCTGATTCATTTTGTCTCAGTTATCAGCCTATAATTTGGTCTTGGTTCTTAATTAGTAGCCTTAGTCCTTTTCATTTGTCCACAAGTGTCTGTAGGGCGATAAGCACACTCAGACTGCACATCTGAAGGGCAGACAGCAGCTGTAAACAGTTGACTTATTTTATCAGTGATGACGGACAGACAGGCCTAAGATAGGAACTCATTTTCTAGTTTGACCATTTGAAATCAGTGATGTTTTATCTTCATGAAATCAGACTCAGACTCTTGTCACTTAGAAATAAGCCACACTTACTGGATCACCATGGAAAACATAAAGGGAAGGACAGAGTTATTGATACTCAGACTCCATGCTGAAACTTAAAGGTAGAAAATTTCAAATGCCCTGACTTTATATATTTTTCTTCTCTTTGTTTTTCTGTTTTAATTGATCTTGCTAAACCAAGAACCAGGAGCTAGGTGGCTGAAGTAAAACCTTGTGGACAGTGTGTTTTGAGTACATTTCTGTCAAACCACTTCTAAATTCCATTATGCAGTTTTAGCCAAATTCACAAGTTGTATAAAGGCATATATCCAGCACCTTTATTGGGAATAAGATCTGAAAGTTGAAGTAGAAGAATCAATAATGTGACTGTACAAATTAAGATCCTGTGTGTCCTCTGCAATAAGTCAACTTGGCTGGCTATTTACCAGTCTATGTGAACTTTTGTTTGTTGGGTTGTGGGGTTTTTACCACTTAGGGCTTTTTTAAAAATAGCTGGAATCAGTGTAATACCTGATGTCACAATATTTTGTTGTATGTCTACATCAGGGGTAGAACACTGCAGTGTTCCTAAGTTTTTACTTAATATCTACTGAAATTAAATCTGCATAATGACTCCAGGGAGTGATTCACATAGTAAACCATAGTTTATAATGAACTCCAAAAAATAAAATTCCTCCATTGCTACTTTTTCAGAGAAGCTTGAACTGTCTTTAAAGTTTTTTTAATGGTAAAAATGTGTGACTTAAATGATGATAAGAAAAAGGAAAATAATTTTTATTGACTCCTACTAGAATACCTTAGGCTCTAGATGAAAAACCTCCAACAGCTCTAACCCATTTGGGATGAGGTTTTTTTTTTCCAGTAGCATCAATTTAAAGTAATATGCTTAAAGATGCATGATATTTCTGCACATCCACACCCAGATGGAAAGAAATTAAATTACAAAGATGTATAACAGTGGTATTAACATGGTTATGTGCATCTTTAGGCTGTCTGTAAGAATAAACTGTCACATTTAGGTTTATGAAATGCTCATAATCAGCGATGTGCTCTATTTTACACTTCCATGCTGAGAGGCTTATATGTCCTAGTTATTCATCCACAATATAATTATGTTTTTAAAAAAAGAAAAAGGCCTGCTGAATTAAAGACAGAGTTGGAAATACTCCAATGTATTGCATTAATTTAGTTCAATTTATATGAGCATGTTTCACTCTGCTGGGGAGGTTAATTCACCAAGCTCCATTTCCTGCCTTAATCATCTACCATAAGGATATTAATATGTCATATTAATGCCACACATTGCTACTGTGAAATTTGTGGTCCAGCCTCCAGATCTAGTTTTTAACAATGCTTGAGTTAATGGCATATCTGTACATAAACCTTTGAACTACTTTTTTGTACATAGGTCATAATATAAGAAGAAAGTATTTGAGCCAGAGCATATAAAGAGAGGAATTTGAACTGTCTGTGGCTGTCACACCATTGCTGCCACAGTGGTCCGTGGTTGAAATCAGCAGCACTGTCTATCCAGTGGTTTATTATCCACTCTAGAATGATGTTCAGCTGGGAAATTTGCTGTTCCATACAGCAGGTTTTTAAGCTTCTACAAGATTAAGTCATCAGTGTGGGGGTATAAAGTTAACTGTTGGCCCACATCAGGCAGTCACTTCTGGTATTCTTACAAGCCAGGTTCTGGGTGTGAAGCACCCTGAAGTGCTCTGGGGACTTGAAAATAGGGTCACCTTTTGGGAAGCATTGCTGTGACAGAACTTGCAGCATAGCCAAGTGTCAGAAGCAGCAGAACAGTCCCGAGGGCGTTGCTGTGACTTACTGTTGGCATTAGAGAGAATCTCTTTGCCGTGCAAAGACTATTTCTGCAGAAGGCAGGAGAAGGCAGAACTCACTGCTGTGCTTTCCTGCCTGCCTCAGCAAGCCCTTTAGCTATGTGTGATGGGCCACAAGAGGAAAACTACTGTTCACCCCTCTTCCGCCTAAAGAAGGGTATGGTACCACTTTTTCTATTGCTGCACACAGCAGCAGCACTGATGGAAGTCACTGATGGCAGAGCCTTCCCAAAATTAAAAAACCCTTTATTCTGCCTTCTGTATCTGCTAGTGTTTGGATATTGTAAAGATTGTGGTCTAGGAAACACGTGCTAAAAAAGGAGCTCAAAAATGTTTCTTCCTCCTACAGGCCATCTTTCACACTGAGGAACTTTTTTACATAACTTGTATGGTTTGTAGCAAAGCTTAAACTGAAGACTCAGGTTTTTCTCTAAATTCTAAACCTAAGCTGTGTTCCACCCCACTGGTGTGTGGAAACACACAAAAAAAACTTAACTGGGATTTGTACTTTGATGGCTCCTCAGGAAAGTGAGAAGTTTGCATATATGGGGGTTATAAATGCATGGTATTACGTGTAAATCCATCAAACCAGTGTATATTACCCAGTGCTGAAGAAGAGGAATGTATCAGCTGGGAAGTACTGATATTTAAAGCACTACCTGGTAACATTTGCATCCCAGTCTATGTAGGATGTCAGACATCCTGGCTTTTCATGAGTCCTCTCAGGCTTTCAAATCACAGACCCAGATTTTCTGTAGATTTTCTCTGCAAAGTGATATCTTAGCACTAACTTGGAGCCTGAACCAAGGAAGCAACTGTTGGACCAAATGGCCCTTAACTTTAAACAGAACTGTTTCTCAGTTTTCATGAAGTTGAGCTTGCTGCTTGCAAAGCTCTTTATGGAATAGCATAAAGCTGTTACAATAAATCACTTGCTTCAAAAATAGACCTTGTATTTAGAGCAGTCATGGAGCCAAGTTACTCCAAGCACACATCATTCCCTCAGTGTATATTTCTGCAGCTCTGTTAATAGTTAAATTTAATTCTGCTATGCAGAAGTTATTTTCACTGGGGAAAAATACCACCAAAACCTATTAAGTTACTAAGCCTGTTTCTAGCCTGCATCATAAATCAAAGCAAGGTTACCTCACTTGTGCTACAGACCTGTGTAGCTTTGATTTTAGGTGTGCACAACTGGATATATCACTTTGCAAGATGATTAAGCATGTTGTAATATCCTGAGATACATTCTGTCATTAAAGATTTCAGATACTACTTATATATGCAAGTCTTGAGTGCAAGTCTAGACTTCCTGTGCTTCACATGTTTAGTAGACAATGAATCCACACTATGGCGGATGGAAATTTAATTCAGTTTGAAAAAGAATCATCTCTAGAAAAAGCTATAAAAGTCTACCTCATTATTTTTATACTGAAATATGGGTTTATTTCTAATTGCAACCTTAAGGTACATTGGCCCAGCACTGTAATTTAAAGAAAACATAAAACAGTACCAACGTGAAGTTGCTTATATAAGAAATAATATGTAACAAAAATGGTCAGAGAAATAAATGGCTTTGCCTGGCCTACTCTCCACATATTATTCTAACCACTGCACACTTGTGTACCTGTTCATAATTCCTCAGCATTGGCTGAGGAATTATGAACAGGTATTTCCAAATGGATTTGAATGATAACAGGCCCTTTCAGAGATAGAATGAGCCATAACATAAAAATTTATCTATGTATTTTTTTAAGAAGTGATAGTTTCAAAGCCATGTAGGGGATGGCTGGGTGAGATACTGTGACCAGAGAGCTGCTTCCAACATTTCCCTTTCTGAATTGCAGTGCCCTCCCTATAAAGGATCCTCACGTAGACAGTGCCTCTCCAGTGTATCAGGCTGTGCTTAAAACCCAGAACAAGCCTGAGGATGACAGTGAGGACTGGAGCCGTCGCTCTGCCAACCTGCAGTCCAAGTCCTTCCGTATCCTTGCCCAGATGACTGGAACTGAGTACAGTAAGTTGAATAACAAAACATCTCATCCTGATTTTAGATTGATGTCTTTCCTCACTGCCCTGGTATTGGCCACTGATACTCAGGGAATACTCATGTCCAGGTTCATGTAGTTGTCAGTGAAGGTGAAGATCCTCCATGTAACTTGAGGGAACTCAGAAATCATAGTGAACAATCTCACCTTATGCTTTATGAAGAAAATTCTTTTGCCAGGGGCCTCAGCATAAAAGTATAACAGATTGTACAGTAAAGAAGCATTTGGGACCCCACAGTTATTTCTACTTAGAAATCAACTCTCTGCAGTGCAATCTTTGTGTTTCCTGCAGCCTAGACATACAGAGCTGTCCATTCTTAGACAAAATGGACAGCATGTCATGTCTTCTGTAACAGTCTTTTATAGAAGTGACTTCTGGAGGTAAAAAAAAAAAATTAATCACCATTTGTATGGAATCTATGTCTCTATCAGCCCTGGTATCTAAACCTAGATCTGATATGAGTATCACAGAGCTTTAACCTTGTTGTCTATGGAAATGGTTTTGTGGCTACCTGGTACTAAGCTCACAGGTGGCTCCTGTTGTAGAGAGAAGGAAGGTCAGGGCCTTTTCCCACATCAGGAGGAAATATTTAGCATTCCCTTTCCCCATTAATGTGCTGCTGCTGTCTCTCCTGCTTTGTACAAAACAGCAGGACCTCTCTGTAGAATCATTGCCTACAGCTGTGAAACATTGCTAATAATGAATGGGAAAGTAGTTGTAATCACTACCTTCCTCCTAACATCCTCCTTCCTGTCCCTAGGGAACTGCTATCTTCATGATGTTCTTACAAATCCACTGCTGCAAAGTCAGTGTGAATCACCTTTAGATAGTCTTTTGATAAGTTTCTAAAGAATTTTAAATACTATAAAGCCAATTCCTTTGTTTCTATTTTTTAACTGAAACATTTTTTCCTGCAGTGCAAGATCCAGACGAAGAAGCTCTGAGGAGGTCAAGGTAGGCAAATCCCTGTGAAAAATACAGCTTTCTCCTTCCTGATAACCCAATAATGTTTTAAAATGGCATTAATATGAACTTCCTTTATTATATTTTTGTCCCAAAATATTCTAACACATTTACTTAAAAATCACTAAAATTACAATGCTGTCATTGAGAGGCATTTGAATGAGAAGAATAACAAATCAGCATGTTTTTAGGAAAATCAGTGTAAAATTTTTGAAGTGTATGTTCAAATCTGAAAGCTCTCTGTTCATGCAACTTTCCTGTACTTTACTGGGTGTGTGAATGTGATGAGTTCTAAGGCCTGTGTAACTACTTGAATATGTAAGTGGATAAAAATGTGTAATGATGTGATAGCACTGAAATCTGTGAGCAATTTATTTGGATGACCCTCTGATTGACATTTGATTCTCCTTAAAAGATACAGTAAAGGAGTTGTTTCCATTCATACCCATAATCATTGGTTTATGTTTTGTTTGGAATAAGTATGAGCTAAATTTGTAGAGTATGGAAGCACAGGACTGCTTTTGCTAATGGATAAATGTATTTGTTTCATATGCTGTATCAAAAACACTGAAAAAGAGGATATGTTCAGAGATATAATATGGAATTAAAGATTTATTACTATCCTGCATAGCCAGGAAATAGATGTATTAAATATTATTATGTTGAGCTTAAAAACTGCAGCTGAATCAGAAGCGTTCTGCATGCAATCCTTAGTTTCTGTTTGCATACTTCAAATCCCTGTTTCACTTTAGGTGCTCTAAGCCACCGGCTGGGTTTGTGATGTGTTTGGTACTCAGTGCACTTCTTTTTCTATTTTATATTTTACTGCCCTGTGGGTTCTTTAAAGGTTCTGAGCTTTTGATCACAGCGCAGGTTATAAATGTTGAATCAGTGAAAAAGAATCTGCTGTCTTCCCTGTGAGAATACAAGAGTGCTTTCTGTTGGTGTTTGCTGTAAGCCCTCCACTGCAGTTCATCCAAGTTCATGGCTGGGTGCCTGAACATCAGGCTTGACATTATAGCCCTCAGGGATTTATTTCTTCCCTCAAATATGCAAGCCTAATTCTCATTACATGTATTGTGTATTATCTGTTTTGATGTAAAAGCACACGTCCAAATCCTTATTATGATGGGATTTAAAGCATTGTGCTGAACTTAACATTGCCCCATTCATATCTGAGAGTAATATGTGGTTTTAAAGAAATAATCTCTCTAGGTCCAATCTGTGGCTTTGGAAAATATAAAATAGTGGAAACTTTACATGGTATGAGATATGTTGCAATAATTATCTGATAGTACTTCAACACATGTAAATTGCACATTCTGTCCAGTGTAATTCCAAGTACATGAGTACATCCACTCTGCTTTGCACATTTTCTGCAGTCTTTAGGTATCACTGGGTTGTTCTTTTCTTGCCCAAGGATGCTTCTGGTAATGTTTAGGCACAGCTGAACAGGTTTAAGGTGTGCATTGGTAGTAGAGGCATAAAGGGAGCGTGTGTAGGAAGTTACACAGGGACGGTGCAACTGGTGTAAGCTCTGGTGCAAGGAATGAGCTGGGGTCTCCTTCATACCCCACTGACAGCGCTGGCACCCTCTGGCTGCTTGATGCCCACCTCAAACATTGGACAAACTCCACTGGGGACTTGGCAGCAGGGCCCAGACTGTGCAGGCATCCATCCATTGCTGTGGCCTCAGACAGGCTGAGAGCAATCTCTCTCTAGTGCTTTCTCTTGTCTCTTTGTGTCAACTCCTCAGTGTAGCCAGCAGGAATTGCATGGAATGGCGATCAGGTTTCTTTCAAACACTTAGGAGTGGAGGGAAGAAAGATGTAGCTTATTTTTGGCAGAACTGTTTTACATTAAAGTAGTCACTTTTAGATTGCTGCTTCCAACTTCATGACATATATTCAAAAAAGCCATAAACTTGGGAATTTGGGTGGCAGAATATTCCTGTCAGTTAATATTAATGAGTGTGTTGTATGACTGTCCTTTGCTCATGCTGCTGCTATTTTGAAGGCACACATAAAAGCATAACTTGCTATGAAAACTTTTCATTGCTGGTGTGATGATTGTTGTGGAATATTTTCTGGAGAGGTGGGATCCATTTCAAGCCAAACAGATGTTTCTGAATACCTTTTCCTTGAATGGAGGGGTAATATATCCAAAGTAAGGGAGTTCTTAAATTATATGTCAGACCCACTGGAGCTAGTATATTCTGGTTTAGCTGAAAAAAATGCCATCAGAAAGTTTCAGCTAGAAATACTTTATATCTCTTAATTACCTAAAAGCATAAAAAATAGATTGAGAAGTCATACATCAAGACTCCTTTAGGACTGTTACTTGCATGGCACTGTGTTACTAAGCTCAAAAGATTTAGAAATATCAGTGAATTTGTTGGCATTTACTCTGTTTATTGTTTTGTGCTTTCCTCAGCCTGAGGAGTAAAACCAGCCCAGTCTGCTCCTTTCTGTTTGGCTGGTTTCACTCTCAAGTTCTACTCCATTAACACAATTAATTGTCTTGTGTTTTGAGTGTAAATAATGAGGAAAAAATGACCTTGTTTGCAATGACTGCAAAAAGTTTTGCAAATAACGAGAACATTTTCATTCTGTTTGATATACTTCTCCTTGACTGTGCTGTCATCTCACATCTTCCTTCTTCCCCTTTTTAAGTACAAAAGCTGAATTTAAGCTACCAGGCATCTAGAAAAGATTAAATCCTGAGAGGTGCTGAGCATGGCTCGAGCACTCCAGTCTGCAGTCAGGGGTTGCAGGAGGTGGCCAATACTTCACAGGACTCTGCTTTGAAAATCCCCTGTTGTTCTGCTTTGTGACACAAATGACCAGAAATATCTATGCAAAATGTCTACACTAATACTCACTAATTCTGAGGAAGCTATACAAAAGTACTGCTGAAACCTGGGGTTGGTGGTCCTTGCAGGAAGGACAGCAGGTTATATATGGGCTGACCTAAGTGTTAGAGAATGGAAGATAATTTGCATTTATTTTGCACTTGTATGAGTTAATTTCACTGACTCCTCAGTTGTGTGAGAGGGAGGGAGAAGCCAAGAGAAACTACTGGGAGGAAAACAATGGGATTACACTGCATTTGTAGCAAAAGCAGCCCTGTAATACCAAGCACAAGTCAAAGAATAAGTTATATCAAGTTACTTCTCAGAAATAAATCACTGCAAAACCTTTCACACATGGTCCAAAAAGCATCACCCAGCCTTCACTTTGCTGATTTGAAAGCTGAGGAAAAAATCCAAATAAATTGCCACTGCCCTAGTTGTAAGGCAGGGGAGTGGTAGCCATGGTCCCTAACCCCTTTCTTTCTCCCTCCTTTCTTTCTTCTGTGTATGTGTGTCTCTCTCTGTCTCTGTCTCTCTCTTTCCTCATGCCACAGGGAGAGGTTTGAAACGGAACGTAACAGCCCACGCTTTGCCAAATTGCGCAACTGGCATCACGGCCTGTCCGCGCAGCTCCTTAATGTTAAAAGCTAAACTGCCCCGGCCGAGGGCAAACACAGAGTCCCAGTAACACATTAACTGCTGGCCTGACTTAGAGCCTGAGCCTGCCGCTCGTGCAAAGGTGTGCTGCTAGGCACTTGGTTTCTGCTGTTAGCCTGTTAGCCATTCACTCTCACCAAGGGTGAAATCATGGCACGACCCAGGACACGTTCTTCACGATAAAGTAGCTTCGCTTTTTTTCCTTTATTATCTCAAACTTCAGTATACAGCAAAATGTCACTATTGTAGTCTCTTGACTTTAATTCTTGAAGAAAATGAGAGGGAAGTTATTGACAGTATTTCTTTAGAAGGAAAATAATGAAATTTTCAGAGTTTTACTGATGTAAAGATAATGAAGTAGGAGAAAGAAAGTTGAAAAGGAAAACTGATTGGCCTAGACTTTGCTAAATGTATAACACACTTAGTTTGCATAGCTGAATGATGCTGTTTGAAATAAGATATTAGCAATGTGAAGTTATATTTCAAGATATTATACTGGCAAAAGTCATTTACTGAAACCATTGCTGTAAGTTTTGTGTTGGAAACTTTAATTTATCATTATATGGAAGAGAGGTAGCTGAGGTTGCTCAGGATCTGCAAGGAAATGACATTTTGCTAGAGGTGATTTAGGAGTGAGAAGAATATATCATACTGCTGGTGCACTGAAGCTTTTAAAAGCATCTTGTAAGTTTTAAGGAATATGTTGCCCATTCTGTATTGCTCTTGCTTTGACTCACATTTTTTTCTGTATATAGCAGCATGCTTTATCTGAAATAAAAGGTTTTAAAACTAAAATAATTCTGTGCCTATTTTACACAGTACTTTATTCTGTTTTAAAACTTAACTGCTTAAAGTGATTATTGAAAGAAGGAGAACTTTTCTTTCCCAAATATAAAATTTGGTCCAAAAGCTTTCCATTATTAGCTGTAATTATTATTGACTTGTGAGTTGTCTGAATTGGAATAAACCTGACAAAGCAGTTGAGTTGGGTACCTTTATCTGGTAGCAGTAATTCCTATCAAAGGGATTAGTGCATGAGATCAGATTGAAACCATTACACTTTTTGCTGCTTCCAAATTTGTCTCAGCAGTTTGTACAAGAACCAAGTTCATTCAAACTCCCATTTTTTTTCTGTGTTATAGAAATAAGGAAACGCTACTGTTTGTGGAGAATTTTGCATGAATCAGCCAAATACTGATGTGTTTAAAGGATTATCATACATATATAAAAAAACCTTATTCTTCAGTATTACTTAAGAGTACATAAGCACTAATTCCTTTTAAAATGCATTTCACTTTTCCTAGCTGAATACCAGAGCACTTCAGGACATGCTACTTAATTCACAACATTCATTTATATTTTCTTTATGGAAACACAAACAGATTCTGATCACACTATCTTATTAGTACCTATGGTAAATCAGTATTACTGCATGAAATAAGAGCAACATTTTACCTTTTCCTGATTGTTGCCAGGAGCAACC